TATACGATTCCTTGCGAACAGAGCGACGGGCAGAAGGTGCTTCCTTCTAGGAGTAAGGATGTCTCGGTGGCAAGTTGTCATGGTGAATTTATATGCAGTATATTCCAATCATAATTACAGTGTTGCTTTTTGTACTTTTTTTCTCTAACCAAATACAAGGAAGTATGGTTAACCTCAGTAATATATGAGTCTACATATATATATATATATATATATATATATATATATATATATATATATATATATATATGAGGTGAACCCCAGCATGCCTAAAATTACAGGTGTTGCATTTATGATATGCGAGTTGAATATGATATGAATTGTGGGACGGCTGTTGGCGAGGACTTGTAAGCTTTATCCTAACGGGTAAGATGAGGCTGTTAGTGTACTACTATGTAGGAAGTGAGAGAGAGAAGTTGACCCGCGTGGTCTAGGACGGGGCCCTCAGATAGCTAAGCAGCAGGTCAGATTAGGTTCTATGTCATGAGATGGGAGGTCAGGAATCGGCGATGATGATAGTTCAGGCTATTATAAAACGAGGTAAGAGGTGACGTGATGAAATGTATTCGTTAACACTGATACGAGAGAGAGAGAGTGAGGTGGATGTGTGTCTGAGGAGGTCTAGAAGAGGTCTGACTTCTTGGCTGGAGGAAAAGGAGACAGTAGCCTTGTAAGACAGCAAGACAGGACTTATCCTTAAATCTCTGTCTTATTACCCACATGCTCAGTGTTGTACATAGTCGTGTATAGAAACCAAGATTAATACAGTCCCCCTCCCACCCTCTGCCCCCCCCCACACACACACTCCCACTCTCCTTTTTTTTAATAACTGAACCTTTATTAATGAATATACGATCAATTTTATGCATTAAAGACTTGAGTGTAATGTACACTTATTTATGAGTTTTTTTCTTTTGTTTACTTGACTTCTCCAGTTTGTGTGATACAAAAAAAGATGCAAGAAAATGATATAAAAATCTTGCGTGCGGAAGAGGAGCTCAACTACCAAACACAAGACATAGGAGTTTGGACCTTAGAGAGTAGCCGCGTAAGACCTATAATCCCAGATCTTGTCCTCCGTCAGTATTTTCGTCAGCGTCTTATCCAACTTTACCTTATCGTTATTGTCCCTTGTATTATATTGCACTCATTGTTAACTGTCTTATTGTTTTCTATAATTTATTGAAGTCATCTGCGTAAGATGTGATTGGCTGCTTTTTTCTTTCTTTCTTTTCTTCTCTTACTTTCCTCTCCATTGTTCATCATCATCATTTTAGCATTGATTAACTATGAATCTGTTATTATTTCGAACTATATATATATGTATATATATATTTATGTATGTATATATGTATATATACAGGTTCGAGACTAACCACTATGATAAAGAAAACGGGAAAAAAAGTTTAAAAGGAGGTATTTTCAAAAAGATTTTATTCACAAATCTTTTAATGTATTGATAAATCCTCCTCGTAAGATGAGAAGTGACATCACACTTCCTGCTCTAAATCTGAACATTGTTAATTATTGATATCTTGATGTTTCTGTTTTTTTTTAACATTTAGATAATCCGTGTTGAAGAATCCATTTTTCTTTCACATTTGAAATTTCTGTTTTTTTTTCTTTCTTTAATTTCCAACATGTCTTCCAAGAAATGATATATAGTTATACCGCCGTTTTATTATATTTTATCTTCTCAATTTCTTCTAACATATTTTATTATGCTTTCTCTATCACCAAGGGTTGTATTATAATCCTTCAAATGTATTTTTATTGTTGTTATTATAATTATTATTATTTATGCATCTTTTTTCACAACGGTTGTATAAATCTTCCACTGTATTATTAAAATTATCTTTTATTTCTTTCTCTAACACCCTTTCTTCACAATGGTTGTATAATCTTTCTTGTGTACCCTTTTCCACTTAATATCCAATCCCCTTCTCTATTTATCCAATCTTTATCCACCTCCCTTCTCTGTTATCCAATTCCTGTCCAGTCTTACCAGTCTGTGAATTCAGTTCTCTCCGTTTATCCAGTTTATATCCAATCACTCTTTCTTTCTCTGTATAATCCCTTTTTATCCAATCTTCTGTATTTATTCACTCTATATCCAATCCCTCTCTCTCTGTGTTTATTCACTCTATATCCAATCCCTCTCTCTCTGTGTATCCATTCTCTGTGCCCAATCCCCTCTCCCTTATCTGTTTATCCAATCCTATGCATCCAATCTCTGTGTATTCACTCTATGTGTCTCTTCTCTACCAAATCTGTCCAATCGTCTTCTCTGAGTATCCAATCTCTACCGAATCTTCTCTGAGTATCCAATCCTTTAATCGTTTCTATGTAAAATCTATTGTCTTTAATCTTCTCTCAGTATCCAATTATAATCTTAATCTTCTCTGTCCCAATCTTTAATCGTCTCTGTATCCACTTTTAATCTTGTTTCAGTATCCATTCCCAATCTTTATTCTTCTCTCTGTCTCCAATCCTTAATTGTCTCTTATGTTCTCTCTGTATCCTATCCATACTCGTCTCTTATGTACCCAATCCCTTCCCAATCTTCTCTCCGTATCCAATCTCTTCCCAATCCTCATCACTTCCGGTGCGAGCGTCTGGAGAGCTGAAGGTGCCATGTAACTAGAGTCAATCTTAATAAAACAAAATGTCCGTAGGTGTGGAGTTTTATTTTATGACATTTTCCTTGTTTTTTTTTTTTTTTTTTTTTTTTTGGGGGGGGGGGGTTGGTGTCTGTTATGATAATGATGAGAAAGGATGTAGTTTTTATTTTTTGTGTGTGTCTTGATAATGATAAGAAATTATTATTATTATTATTTTTTTTTTTTTTTTGATAAAGTTAAGAAAGGATTTTTTTTTGTATAATTCGTTTTTGTGTTGATAATGATAATAAAGGATGTATATATATATATATATATATATATTATATATATATATATATATATATATATATATATTTATAATTTGTGTCTTGATAATGATAAGAAAGGCTAAGATCTGCTCCTTATTTCATTGAGTGATGAAAACAGAAATCAAATTAGTGACGATTATATTCTGTAATAATATGAATATGATAATGATTTAGACACGATTTAGACTATGATTAATGATTTCATTGCAAAGAACGGGTCCCATGCAAGATAGAAATGTCAAAATTATAATTATAATTATGCTAGCATATCAACAATTGTAATGATTATGACATCACTAATGATAGCAGTAATAAAATAAATAACTAATAAAAGTAATTATATTAATAATATTAGTAATGACAACATAATTATAAAAATACTCATGATAACAAAAAAGATAGTGGAATCAACTATATAACGATAATAATAAAAAATAATATACAGGATGATAATATGATAATGAAAGATAAGAAAACAGATATCTAAAGTAATTTGATAAATAAAAAAACGGCTTTGGAGTCATTTTTGTGATGGTACAATTATGCAAAAATCTGATTTACGGGTTTAACTAAATCACAATTACTCGGAAGTTGCATTGGTCATTTTTCTTTAATCTTCCAGAGATAAAGCAATATAGTTGTTTCTAATTGCAGTGTATCTTTTTTTTTTTTTTTTTTTATTGTTTGAGTGAGTAAGCGAGTGTGTGTGTGAGTGATAGAGCGAGTAAGTGAGTGTGTGTATGCTTTCGTTCCTATTATGCTGTAAAGATTATATTTACCATTCTTAACTATTACTATTTATGGCCAAAGCAAATAAAACTTTTAAGTACAAAATACAAACAGTGAAACAGACGATGACACAAAATACATCGATACAGTACTTCCTTTTATTAACAGAGTTACAGAGTATATTGCAAATACATCATTGGTTTACAGCCATTTAGAATATTACACATCAACAACGGCAACGGCAACAATTATGAAGTTGAAAGAATTTCTGTTCCGGTGTACCAGCCCAGACTAAACCCCCGCCCAGAATACACCCAGTATTCCAGCCCAGAATACATCCAGTATACCCAGACTATACCACCGCCAGAACACACCCAGCAGGCCAGACTAATACCCGCCCAGAACACCCACCCAGACTATCCAGGCCAGACTATACATCATCACATCATCATCAAGGGGGCTGACGCCGACGGGGGCGCATAGCCGCACCCACCCTTCGCTTCCACCTACGAGGATCCCTCATGGCTCGACGCCAGGCAGGGACTCGGCCCATCTCTAGTTCTTCACGGCAGGTTTGGTCGATCTGCCCAAGCCACGACTTCCTGGTCGTCCCAAGGCCTCCTCCACCCAGGGTTGTCTCGAACAGAGACGACCTGATGGGCAGGATCATCCTGAGGAAAGCGAGCCAGGTGGCCGTATAGCCTGAGTTGGCGATCACGGATTGTGCAGATAACAGGTCCTGTGCCAGTCTCACGGTGCAACCGTTGGTTGGACACATGGTCCCGCCAACAGTACCCCATGATCTGGCGCAAGGACCTATTGCAAAAGGCTTCAAGACGAGCCTCCAAGGCACAGGACAATGTCCAGGTTTCGCTACCGTATAGCAAAACTGGCATTATCAGGGCCTTGAAAACCCGTAGCTTGGTCCTTCTGCACAGGTACCGACATCTCCAAATAATCTTGTTGAGAGAGTTCATGACCCCTGCTGCCAGGCCAATCCGTCTGCTGACTTCATGGTCTGACAGCCCAGAGTTATGAACTACACTACCAAGGTATGTAAAGCTCTCTGTGACTTCAATGTCCTCGCCGCAAGCACGTACCGACTGAACAGGTTCTCCTAACAAGTCCCCAAATGGTCTTATTTTAGGCTAAGCCGTTTTATACCCGGGGTATAAGCTAGGCTTGGCTAGAATATACTCCCTAAGCCAGAAAATACCTTTTCCGTTTTGCGTGTAACAAATATATCGCTATATTACCAAACGATAATAAGTGGCTATGACGAAGCAATACCTTGATATAAATAAACTGTTCGCCATAAAATCCACAAGTGACACAGATACATTCCTACCCATTCCTTCTCCCTTCTCCTCCTTCTCCTTCCCTCTTCCTGTTTCCTTTCTGTTTCTCTTTCCCCATTTATCTTTTTCCTTGTTTCTCTTTTCCTGTTCTTCTATCCCTTCTCTCGATTTCTTTTTTCTCTTTTTCCTTATCTCCGTCTTCTCCCTAACTCCTTCTATTCTCTTTATTTTCCTCTTCCCTCTTTATCCTTCTCTTTTCTTCCTTCTTCCTTCTTCCCCCCTCGCCCTCAGTTCTCTTCCTTTCTTCTCTCTCCCTTCTTCCCTTTTCCCTCTTTCTCTTTTTTTCGATTCCTCCTCCTCCTCTTTCCTTCCCCCTCCTCCTTTCTCTATGCTTCTTCCCCCCCCCCTCTTTCTCCCTTAACTCCTCACCCTCTCTCAGACTTCTCCCTTCCTCCCCCTCCCTCCCTGCCCTCCTCCTTCCTTCACTCCTCCCTCTCCTCCTTTCATCCCCTCCCTCCTACCCCTTCATCCCTTCTCCTTCCATCTTCCTTCCCTCAACCCCCTCCCCTCCCCACCCACCCCTCACCCCCGACAACCGAAAAGCAATTCGAACAAACCCGAAGGGGATTCCTCGCAGGAGGAAGACCCTTGCCCCGCCCACTTCGGCTTCCAGGGGCGGGGCTGAAGGGCTCCCGGTGGAGGATGTGGTTCCTTAGGGTTGGCAGACTCCTCCAGAAGGCGTAGGTCTTTTGGAGAGAGAGGGAGAAGAGAGGGAGGAAGAGAGAGGGAGAGAGGGAGAAGGAGGATAGAGGGATAGAGGGAGAGAGAAAGAGAGAGAGAGGGAGGGAAGAAGGGAGAGAGGGGAGGGAGGGAGGAAAGAGAGGGAGGGAAGGGGAGGGGAGGAGAGAGGGAGAGAGGGAGAGAGTGAGAGAGGGAGTGAAAGAGAAAGAAGGAGAGAGGAAAGGTTAGAGAGTGTGTATATGTATATATATATATAATAATCAAAAATAAAACAAGAAAAAAAATACGAAAAAAAAAGAAAAATAAAAAGAACCAAATATTACCCGAGCGTTCCCATCCTGGAGCATCGCGGGCGCGGGCGTGAGGCTGAGGTAGGGCGGGGTGGGCGAGCACGCGGGCGCCCACACGAAGCCGAGGAAAGGGTCGGGCGTCGGGAATCTGTGGGCGGAGGAGGACACGAAGTCGGGGATAAAGGTAACCCATTCGTAGAGAAACGACGTCCTAAGCCACAGAATAATTTTTAGATTAGCCAGTTAGTTGCAGTTACCGTCTCTTACCCCTTTATCTCCTCTCCTTGCCTCAATTTCTTTCTCCTGACCCCAGTATGAAGCCAGTGCTTACAGCTGTTACCGTCTCCTACCCCTTGCCGCAGTTTCTTTCTTGCAGCAATTTTGACCCCAGCATGAAGCCAGTACTTACGGTTAACGGAGAGGGGGCACGAACCCGGGACCGTGTGACTGCAAAGCCACTGCTCTACCGCTGGGCTATGCCACCTCCCACCCAACTTATTCTCCCTCCCCCATCCCCCTTCTTTACCCCCCTTTTTACCCTCCCTCCCCCATCCCCCTTATTTACCCCTCCCCTTCCCCCCGTCCCCTTTATACCCCTCCCCTCCCCCTGTCCCCCTTTTTTACCCCTCCCCTCCCCCCCCCCTCCCCTCCCCCTTTTTTACCCCTCCCTCCCCCCGTCCCCTTATTTACCCCTCCCCCCATCCCCTTTTTACCCCTCCCTCCCCCGTCCCCTTTTTACCCCTCCCCTCCCCCGTCCCCCTTATTTACCCTTCCCTTCCCTGTCCCCCTTTTTACCCTCCCCCCCCCCGCCCCCTTTTTTTCCCTCCCCTCCCCCGTCCCCTTCCTCCCCTCCCCCGTCCCCCTTTTACCCCTCCCTCCCCCCATCCCCCTTATTTACCCCTCCCCTCCCCCTGTCCCCCTTATTTACCCCTCCCCTCCCCCCATCCCCTTACCTCTTACCCCCTCCCCCGTCCCCCTTACCTTTACCCCCCTTACCCCCGTCGAGGCGAAGTTGGTCCACAGCCGCACCATGATGCTGCTTAGGCGTTGGTCCACCTTGGCCGCCAGGGTTGGGAAGGTCGTCCTTGAGGTCGTCCTTGAGCCTAGATCTGCACGGAAGAGGTACTTCAGGTCGTCGCCATTACCGACCCCTGCCAATGAAAAAAAGAAAAAAGAAAAGAAAAGAAAAAAGAAAATGGGTCGTGTTAAAAACCATCATAAAGATTATCATTGTTGTTATTATCATTATTTCGTCATTATCATAACTTTTCATCATATTCGATATTTTGTTCATGTTTCTATTTCTAATCGTATCTGCCTACCTGTCAAAAAAAAAAAAAAAAAAAAAAAAAAAAAAAACAGGGAGACAACGAACCTAAAAATAAATACTATCCAAAAAAAATTTCAAACTCAAGCAAAAAATCAACCTCTCAATCGAATAAAAAAAAAAAAAAAACAATTCGAGAAAAAATCCTCACACATGTATCCCACGGAGCTATTGAAGAGATCGGTTGCACCAACAAGACCTCGGTGTTGCAAGCGGTACGCGAATACTCTTCCTCTTCCGCGCTTGCAATGGAGACGCAACACCTCGGCGTTCGGCACGTTGTACGCCCCGTCGCTAATGAGCTGAAATAATTAAGTAATTTACAAGAATAAAGCTAAATTTAATGGGCTGCAAACAAGAATAAGTAAATGGGCTAATGAGAGAGAGAAAAAAGTAAATGGGCTGCAAACAAGAATAAAGCGGGAAGAGAGAGAGAGAGAGAAAAAGTAAATGGGCTGCAAACAAGAATAAAGCGGGGGAGAGAGAGAGAGAGAGGAAAAAAAGTAAATGGGCTGCAAACAAGAATAAAGCGGGCTGAGAATAAAGCGGGGAAGAGAGAGAGAAAAAAAAAAGTAAATGGGCTGCGAACAGAAATAAATAAATAGTATCCAATTTCACGACTTTTTTTTTTAATTTTTATTTGGGGTGGAGGGAGATTTGTTAATACTTTAATACTTATTTCTATTTAATTCGTTGCTTTTAACATCTCTACAGTACTTTCATCTTTTTTAAAATTGTAATTTACTGCTTTTAACTCCATTCCAATATTCTTTTCTGAAGACTTGGCGATTCGGAGTGATCCAGAGTTTAGGGTGAGTTGCCAGTTTTTCCTTTTCGAGACTAGAGTAGAGTTACGTTCATTACTCTACCTTAAATTTGTGTTAAGTGATTATAACATTTATTTATCATAGATATAATATTCATAACGATTTTTTATAGGTAATTATATTATTCTCCCGACAAACAAGCTTATATGATGATAATCCTATGATGGTAAAAATGGCCTGGTTATGATAATGGTAAAAATGTCCATGATACTGGTTATAAAAATTATCATAACAGTTGTGTTACTACTAAGATCCATAATGAAGTTGAGAATTGAGGAGGAGGATAATTATGAAGTTGAGAATGATGAGAGAATGAAGTTTGAGGAAGAGGATGATAATTATGAAGTTGAGAATGAAGGTGTTGACGAGGAGAAGAATTATGAATGTGAAGATGATAAATACATAATAGACGATATAAACCCAAGAAAAATGAATAAGCACCTAACCCAAACCAACCGATCCCGTCCCTCTCAAACACTCAGAGAAAGACGAAACTAAGTGGTACTAAATAAGTGGAAAGACACCTACCTGTGCCAGTCCCCGAAGTGTGCCTTCATTGACCTGCGCTCCGGGGAGGTAGGCGCCGAAGACCGTCCTCGCCAACTGCAAAGCCTCCTCCTCTCCCTCAAAGCCGAGCAGCGCCGGCGCGACTGAAGCGAAATCGTCCAACAAGGCCTTTTTCAAGTGGGGGTTGCCGAGTGTCGCTGGAAGTAGAAAGAATATTTTGAATTAGATTTTTAAATATTTATTTGTGATTTTCTTTATTAGCAGAAGAATGGAGTGAAGACAGGGATTCGAACGAGGGCCATTTCAGTACTCTAGATAGCGTACGAGATTTCCGAAATCCTTCCAACAGTTACCGGGATTTCCAGATAGATTTGTCAGGGATTTCCAAAGTTTTCAAAAGCGTTTAAAAACCACCAAATCATCGTAAATGTTAAAAAAAAAAAAAATAAGCTGTTATCAGTCGTTATCTTACAGGTTCCACATGAAGTGCACTACTTTATCACAAAACATAAACCTTCAGACCTAATCCTCATAATTCCTCATAATCTGTTGGATTAACCTCGGAATTAACTATTTTGAGGATCATTTCAACCATCTCACTTCCTGAAATAGGCACAATTACTTGGAAATTTGAGCATTTTAAAAGGGGCAATCCTGTTTCTCAAAAAATGCAAGAATAGACATTAAGGGGGTTAAATTAACTCACTCGACCTTGCAGATCCATTCATAACACCCAGTGCTGCGATTTAATTGACATTATGCTTTTACCAAGATCGCGCTCAAGATCTATTGCTTGACCTATGCGTTTTTCCGGCATTTTTTATTTCTTTTTTGCTTCATTTTGATAAAAACCTCCTTTTCCCAAAATGGATTCCTTAGTACTGGTAGTTACTATCTTTTTCTTCTTCATTTTGATAAAAAAAAACCCTGCTTTCCCCAAAAAAAGGATTCCTTAGTACTGGTATTTACTAAAATTACTCTGTGTACCCAAAAGGCCAATAAAATCGCTTGAAAATTGGTACACAGGGTCTCAAAGCATATAGCTACGAAATTATGTCAACAATTCCTCAAAAATCTATTTGTCCGATTTTTAAAAAGGTTTGAAAGTAAAAAAAAAAAAAAAAAAAAAAAAAAAAAAAAAAAAAAAAAAAAAAAATTCAGACATTAACATTAATTTCATGTGGCATTATTTTAAGAAAGCATAAAGCTACGAAATCCTGTCAACAATTTCTGAAAAAATCTATTTGTCCGATTCTTAAAAAAGTTTGAAAGTAAAAAAAAAAAAAGGCATTTCAGACATTAACATTAATTTCATGTGGCATTATTTTAAGAAAGCATAGAGCTACGAAATCATTTCAGCAATTCTCAAAGCATATAGCTACGAAATTATGTCAACAATTCCTCAAAAATGTATTTGTCCGATTTTTAAAAAAGTTTGAAAGTAAAAAAAAAAAAAAAAAAAAAAAAGCATTTCAGACATTAACATTAATTTCATGTGGCATTATTTTAAGAAAGCATAGAGCTACGAAGTCATGTCAGCAATTTCTGAAAAAAAACTATTTGTCCGATTTATAAAATTTGAAATAAAAAAAGGCATTTCCATCACATTAACTTTATGTGGCATTATTTTAAGACAGTGTGTTTTATCAAAATTCATTATATGATATTCTGCGTTTAATTCTGCGTTGAGATTGTGGTTATCAGTTGCTCAGGTGTTTGTCGAAATTTATGACAATTTTATACCGATTTTAAAAAGACATCTTTAGTAATATTAACACGATTTTTTTGTAAAATTTTGCTTTGAATGGAACATTTGTGATATTTTAGGGTTCGTGGGATTTTCTGGAGAAATCCGGATTTCCAAAGATTTCTTGAGGAGATTTCCAAAGAATTTCTTATTTTTGTATTTGAATTTCTTAAGGATTTCCGATTTTTTCGGATTTCTAAAAAATTCTTAAGATTTTTTTCGGATTTCTAAAAAAATTCTTAAGGATTTTCGATTTTTTCGGATTTCTAAAAAATTCTTGATTTTTTTTTCGGATTTCCTAAAAAATCTTGAGGATTTCAGATTTTTTTTTCGGATTTCCTAAAAAATTCTTGAGGATTTCCGATTTTTTCGGATTTTTCTTAAGGATTTCCGAGGATCTTAAGGATTTCCGATTTTTTCTCGGATTTCCCCCCAAAAATTCTTAAGGATTTCCGATTTTTCGGATTTCCCCCCCCAAAAAAATTCTCAAGGATTTCCGATTTTTTCTCGGATTTCCAAGTAGGGTGTGCGGGATTTCCGAAATAAAATGTCCCACGTATGCGACCAGAGACAATAACATCAACAATTATAAGAACAGCGATCTCTTAAAAAAAGATTAAAAAAAGATATATTATGTGGAAAGGTATGAATGAGAACGAATATCTTCACAATACAAGAGATGTATTTAACCGGTTTCGATCATATCTTCATCAGAAATACATCATATAAGATATAATCGAAACCGGTTAAATACATCTCTTGTATTGTGAAGATATTCGTTCTCATTCATACCTTTCCACATTTGTCAACATGAATACGGTTCAAAGATATATTAGTAGCAACAAATATAACAGAGTACATGCTAAGAACGGACAGAGAATACAACAACAAAGTACTCACCAAGGACGGTCAGAGAATACAACAATAAAGTATCAAGGACGCGCACTGAATACACACACAAAAAGTACAATAACAGAGAATACAACAACAAAGTACTCACCAAGGACGGTCAGAGAATACAACACAAAAAGTACATAACAAGAACGGACAGAGAATACAACAATAAAGTACATGCTTAGAACGGAACATACAACAATAAAGTACTCACCAAGACAGTAAGTACTCACCAAGGACGGTCAGAGAATACAACACAACAAAGTACACAAGGACGGTCAGAGAATACAACAACAAAAGTACTCACCAAAGACGGTCAGAGAATACAACAACAACAAAGTACTCACCAAGGACGGGCAGAGAATACAACAACAAAAGTAGAGAATACAACACAACAAAGTAGGACGGTACTCAGAGAATACAACACAAAGTACATACACGGACAGAGAATACAACAAAAAGTTCACCAAGAACGGACAGAGAATACAACAATAAAGTACTCACCAAAGACGGGCTGAGAATACAACACAAAAAGTACATACAAAGACGAGCACAGAACAACACAAAAAGTACTACACAAAGTACTCTAAAGACAGTCAGAGAACACAACAAAAATACATACCAAAGACGGGCAGAGAATACAACAACAACAAAGTAATCAACAAAGTACTCACAAGGACGGACGAGCAAGGATCAGAGATACAACACCAAAAGTACTCAGACTACATCATCAACAAAGACGAGCATCAGAATACAACAACAGAACACCAAGGACGGGCAGAGAATACAACACAAAAAGTACTCACCAAAGACGAGCATCAGAATACAACAACAACAACAACAGCAGCAGAGTACACACCGAGAATGGCCAGCAACTACAGCAACGACAGAGCACTCACCGAGGGCGGCCAGAGCACCCTCGACCTCCGTCACCCCAGAGATGAGGTCGACTTCGTTATAGAGGCCACTTCGTAAGAGCGAGGCGGGGTGGGCACGCAGGAAGACCCCATCCACGCGGGGGGTCATCACCTGGGGGACGCTGAGCCACTTCTGGGGGGGGGGAGAGGAATTAGGAGCGTGTAAAGGAGAAAGAGAGAAAAAAGAAAAAATTGGATTTAAGAAAGGGTAGAAAAACATATCAATGTTAAAAGTATATGATATACAAAAAAAACACTTAAAGTTTCCAACGGTGATTGAGCGTGTAAAGGAGAAAGAAAGAAAAAAGAGAAAATTGATTTAAGAAAGGTTAGAAAAACATATCAATGTTAAAAGTATATGTATATATATATATAAAAAAAAAAAAAATTAAAATTTCCAACGGTGATTGAAACTTGAGGAATGAGGAGCATGTGAAGGAGTAAGAGAGAAAAAAAGAAAAAAATGGATTTAAGAAAGGTTAGAAAAACATATCAATGCTAAAAGTATATGATATACATATAAAAAATAACTTAAACTTTCCAACGATGATTGAAACTTACATATCAGAATCATGTATTATATCCATAAAAAAGAACTTTGTAGAGTCACTAATATTTGACACCAATATGATCAATATTAAGCTTCAAATTGATTATATTTAAGGATCCGCGCTGTATTCTAAGAAACACGTAGGTTGTTTCAAAATTTTAAGATGTTCTCTGCTACTTAATGTACCTTATCTATTTTGCCTTATCTACTTTACGTCATTACGACAACCTCATGGACAAACTACATGATAAGATTTGCTTATATTGTTTAATCTGCATTTATATAGTTAGTTGATCGTTTTATATCACTCTGGTTTATAGAAAAATAAAATTTCCAAGTCAGGGGTACTATAAAGGATAAATACCACATTTGCTAAAACAGTGAATTGAGGATTCATGTTGCAAAATACCCTCTCCCTCTCCCTCTCTTCTCTCTCCATCTGTCTCCTCCTCCCTTTCTCCCCCCTCTTTTCTTCTCTCCATCATCCCCCTCTCTCTCTATCAACAGAGCACTCACTCTATTCATCTCTATCACTCTCTCTATCCATCTCTCTCCCCCTCCCTACCCCTCTTTTTCTCCCTGCACCTTTGTGACCTCCCTGCAAGACCCATCTTCTCCCTGCACCTCCCCCGCGTGACCCATCTTGACCTCACCACGAACGCCGACGGAATGACCACCAGCTGTTGAAAGGGAATCTTTCTCAGGCAGTCGACGAGGGCGGTGCTGTTCAGGTCGACCGGTGACGAGAGAGAAGAGTTGTTCGTCGACGTGTTCTCCGCCGCTGAACAGTTGAACACCCGGCCAACTACGGAGGCTGTGTGTCTGTGGTCGTTCCTCAGCGCCCAGGGACTCAGCGCATTGCCGGATTGCAGGATTGCACGGCGGAATAAACCTGGGTAGAAAGCGACGCGTAAGACGAGCCATAAACATGTTGACAACATGTAGGGAAGGTATGATGAGAGTGGATTTCTTGACAGTACAAGAGCTGTGTTTAACCGGCTTCGATAATTTCTCCGTCAGAAAACCATGAAGATCTATTCGAAACCGGTTAAATACATCTCTTTAATTTTACGTGTTATCTTTCTTTTGTCAAGGAAATTGTCTTGAGGTTGTATTTGTGGAATGCGTGTCCTGTAGCTTACTTAGATGGTTTCTGTCTGACACATATATATATATATATATATATATATATATATATATATATATATATAATATATATATATATATATATATATATATATATATATATATATATATATATATATATATATATATATATATATCTATATATATATATATATATATATATATATATATATATATATATATATATATATATGTGTGTGTGTGTGTGTGTGTGTGTGTGTGTGTGTGTGTATGTATATATGTATATATATATATAGAGAGAGAGAGAAGGAGAGATAG